CTCCCTACATCAGAGGCCCGTGCATACACTTCGGCTCCCGCTGAAGGGTTTGACACAGATGATTTCCAAGAGAGTCAGTCACTGCCCCGCCACACTAATCGTCCATCCCGTCCTCCCATGCAATCTAGTAACCCTCCCTCCACTTCCCGCAGGTACCAGGGACCAGATCAGGCCCATTTAGATTTATTACAATAGGTAACTGGCAAGCCTGTGTCAGCAACCCCTGCCATGGCAGTGTCTGCGGGGGATGGGGGAGGGCCCTTGGCTACTGTAGTTCTCCCCGTGGAGGGCCATCCAACTACCTTTCTAGTCGACACAGGTGCAGCCCGTAGTGTTCTTAGGGAACAAGACCTGCCAGATCCTTCCTTCTTATTTGATACTGATGTCTCCTGTGTTGGGGTGGATGGTACACCCCGCAGTAACCCCCTTACTAAACTTCTGCATGTAGGTTCACACATTCTCTCCCGGTTTGTTGTTTCCTCTACTTGCCCCATTAACCTCCTAGGTGCTGATGTTCTCTCTCGGCTCCAGGCATCCATTACCTTTACTGCTGATGGTCAGGTCGAGTTAACAACTCCCTTATCACAAAAAGACACCTCTGTCCTCTGTTCCCTCCCCATCTTGTTGAACCTAGCTGACAATACAGGGAATACACGGGTCTCACAAACCCCCAGTGCTCTGGATCGTATCCCCCAAGAACTTTGGTCCACCGGCCCGGATGATATCGGACGTTTGCATGTGCCCCCAGTCTTGGTCAAGCTCCTGCCTGGCGCACTGCCTCCCCGTAGGCCACAGTATCCTCTGAAGCCAGCACAAGCTGAAGCTATCACCAAACAAGTTGAGAGCCTACTTGCCAAAGGTGCCCTCATCAAGTGCACATCTCCATGTAACACACCACTTTTCCCTGTTAAAAAGAGAACTGTTAAAGGCCAACCCGACCAGTACCGAATGGTGCAGGATCTCCGTGCTGTTAATGAAGTAACCGTAAAGGACACTGCTATTGTTCCAAACCCACACACTCTCTTGTCCCAGGTTCCACCAACTGCCACAATTTTCACTGTAGTGGATCTAGCCAATGCCTTTTTCAGTGTGCCCCTTGACCCTTCCTGCCGTTTTCTCTTCGCCTTCACCCACGAAGGACAACAATACACCTGGACTGTCATGCCTCAGGGGGCCCAGAATTCCCCAACACAGTTTGCTCATGCCATGTCTCTGGTTCTGGAGCCCTGACAGAAATCTCACTCAGATGTTGTCCTGCTCCAATATGTTGATGATCTCCTTGTCTGTGCTCCTGATTCGCTTATTGCAGAACGTGACTCAGAAGATCTTCTATGTTTCCTCGCTGCAGCCGGTTGCAAAGCTTCCAAATCCAAGCTACAATGGTGAAACTTCAGCGTTGTCTTTCCCTGAACCCAGCCACTCTTCTGCCACTTCCCAAAGGGGGAGTTGTGCATTACTGGTACAGCCTGGACATCAACCCAGAGGTTCGAGCAGATTTGCAGCTGCCAGCACTTGCACCCCCACATGACGAACAATCAGAGGCCCTACTTCACTGCACCTTATGGTTTAAGGACATACAAGGCCCTGATATGAACTATGAGGAAGAATTATTCCAGCTCAAGGAAATTCAAATTACCCTGACTGACTTATTCTGGGACCCCACAGGTACCATGCTCATCTTAGTCCATCTTCCAGAGAATGTGACACATCTCTATCATCATTGGGAAACAGCCATCCCACACATATCTCTCACCAGATCCCCTGACACCTCATGGAAAGACCTAGGCCCGATGGCCAAGACCTGGAGTCAAATGAACCAAGAACAACTGACTTCTACGGGGATCAACAAAAAGACTATTAATTACTGTACAGCAGGGTACCCAAGGTACCACACAGAAGCCCGGGAAGACCCACTCATCATAGACTGTGACCTAGATATTCCTCATGATTGTTTTGAACAAATGAAAATGGAAACTACACACCTACCAACTGTCTATGAAGCTGCATTACTCAACCCGGACCAAACACTATTTGTGGATGGGTCAAGATTTGCTGATGAACAGGGACAATATCACACTGGGTATGCAGTCACCAAAGGATGTCAAGTATTACAAGCAACTGCCCTACAACCAACTAAGTCTGCTCAAGAAGCCGAGCTAACAGCCCTGACTGTGGCCTGCAAATTGTCTGAAGGACTACGTGTCAATATCTACACAGATTCAAGATATGCCCTGGGAGTAGCACATGACTTTGGTCTAATTTGAAAAACCAGAGGATTTCTTACGGCTACCGGTACCCCAGTAAAACATGGGGCAGCCATTGCAGAACTGATGGATGCTTTAGAACTTCCAGCAGAGGTGGCAGTACTAAAAGTAAAAGCCCACGGAAGACTAGACACAGAAGAAGCACGGGGCAACCACTTAGCTGATCAGGCAGCTAAGGAAGCAGCACGGCAAGGATGGGAAGTGGACAGAAGAGTGGCCACAGATACAGTACCCATCTACACTATGCAAATATTGCCTACAGATCTTAGGCTTCTGAAGGAACAACAAGCTGCTGCTACTCCCCAGGAGAAACAAAGTTGGAAGAACAAAGGAGCTGTACTCCGTGATGATGTTTACACCATCAATCTCAAGTTTTGCTTACCCAGAAGTATGTACTCAGCGGTGGTCCAATGGGCCCATGGACCAGCCCACCTGTCGAAACATCTGATGAATTCACTGATTGACATGTATTTTGAAGCACCAGGTATCACTACCTTAACACAGAATTACTGTAAATCATGTACTATATGTGCCAAATGCAATCCTGGAAAGATTATAAAGACTGCACCTAATCACCTAGCCAAGCCACAATACCCCTTTCAGAGGATCCAGATTGACCATATACAAATGCCAAAGAGTGGACGTTATGAATATGCACTGGTCATAGTGGACATGTTTTCAGGATGGCCAGAGGCCTTCCCAGTGACTAATCTCACCGCGAGGACTACAGCCAAGTATCTTTTGACAGAAATTGTTTGCCGCTATGGAGTTCCAGAAGTAATTGAAAGTGACCAAGGGACCTCCTTCACTGCCTCACTAACACGGGAAGTCTGGCCAGCACTGGGGGTGACCCTTGCATTCCACACACCATATCACCCACAGGGTAGTGGTAAGGTAGAGCGCATGAATGG